ACTATGATTATAACAACCACGACCATGAATATATCAACCACGACCATGATTATAACAACCACGACCATCATTATAACAATCACAACTATGATTACAACAACGACAACCTTGATTATAAAAACCACGACCATGATTATAACAACCACGACCAGGATTATAACACCAACGACCATGATTATAACAACCACGACCATGATAACAAGCACGACCATGATTATAACAACCACGACCAAGATTATAACAACGACAATGATTATAACAATTACAACCATGATTATAACAACCACGACCAAGATTATAACAACAACGACAATGATTATAACAATCTCGACTATGATTATAACAACCACGACCATGATTATAACAACCACGACCATGATTATAACAACCACAACCATGATTATAACAACCACAACCATGATTATAACAACCACGACCATGACAACAACGAGGACCATGATTATAACAACCACGACTATGATTATAACAACCACGATCATGATTATAACAACCACGACCATGATTATAACAACCAGGACCATGATTATAACAACCACAACCATGATTATAACAACCACGACCATGATTATAACAAATCACGGACCATGGTTATAATAACCACGACCAAGAATTATAACAACCACGACCATGATTATAACAACCAGGACCATGATTATAACAACCACAACCATGATTATAACAACCACGACCATGATTATAAAAACCACGACCATGATTATAACAAAACCACGACTATGATTATAACAACCATGATCATGATAACAACCACTACCATGATTATAACAACCGCGACTATGATTATAACAACCACGACCATGAATATAACAACCACGACCATGATTATAACAACCACGACCATGATTATAACAATTACAACCATGATTATAACAACCACGACCAAGATTATGACAACAACGACAATGATTATAACAATCTCGACTATGATTATAACAACCACGACCATGATTATAACAACCACGACCATGATTATAACACCAACAACGACCATGATTATAACAACCACGACTATGATAACAACCACGACCATGATTATAACAACCGCGACTATGATTATAACAACCACGACCAGAATATAACAACCACGACCATGATTATAACAACCACAACTATGATTATAACACACGATAATAACAACCACGACCATGATTATAACAACCACGACTATGATTATAATAACCACGACCATGAATATAACAACCACGACCATAATAACAACCACGACCATGATTATAACAACCGCAACTATGATTATAACACGACCATGATTATATAACAACCACGACCAAGATTATAACAACAACGACAATGATAATAACAACCACAATCATGATTATAACATCCACGACCATGATAACAACCACGACCATGATTATAACAACCGCGACTATGATTATAACAACCACGACCATGAATATATCAAACGACCATGATTATAACAACCACGACCATCATTATAACAATCACAACTATGATTACAACAACGACAACCTTGATTATAAAACCACAACCATGATTACAACAACCACGACCATGATTATAACAACCACGACCATGATTATAATAAGCACGACCATGATTATAACAAGCACGACCATGAATATAACAACCACGACCATGATTATAACAACCACGACCATGATTATAACAATTACAACCATGATTATAACAACCACGACCAAGATTATAACAACAACGACAATGATTATAACAATCTCGACTATGATTATAACAACCACGACCATGATTATAACAACCACGACCATGATTATAACACCAACGACCATGATTATAACAACCACGACTATGATAACAACCACGACCATGATTATAACAACCGCGACTATGATTATAACAACCACGACCATGAATATAACAACCACGACCATGATTATAACAACCACAACTATGATTATAACAGCCACGACCATGATAACAACCACGACCATGATTATAACAACCACGACTATGATTATAATAACCACGACCATGAATATAACAACCACGACCATAATAACAACCACGACCATGATTATAACAACCGCGACTATGATTATAACAAGCACGACCATGATTATAACAACCACGACCAAGATTATAACAACAACGACAATGATAATAACAACCACAATCATGATTATAACATCCACGACCATGATAACAACCACGACCATGATTATAACAACCGCGACTATGATTATAACAACCCCGACCATGAATATATCAACCACGACCATGATTATAACAACCACGACCATGATTATAACAATCACAACTATGATTACAACAACGACAACCTTGATTATAAAAACCACGACCATGATTATAACAACCACGACCAGGATTATAACACCAACGACCATGATTATAACAACCACGACCATGATAACAAGCACGACCATGATTATAACAACCACGACCAAGATTATAACAACGACAATGATTATAACAATCACGACTATGATTATAACAACCACGACCATGATTATAACAACCACGACCATGATTATAACAACCTAGCTAAACGGTATCACAGGACTTGCCACCGGGCACGAAGTGTCCACGATCAATTGTTGCACCTATGTGGTTAATCCAAGTCACGCTTACCAGTTCTCCTTGCCGCGACAACAGTCTACAGTGACTGTCAGTGACGCGAGACTATGTGTGGTATCCCAAGAGTACCTTTTTTGTTGTTATTTCCCGTGGAAAGAATTCCTTGTGCGGAAGTCTGGTTGCGACAAGAGCAATCCAGGCTGGCAATAAATGTATCACTTGACTAATTATGGCTTTGTTATGTCATACCCATAGTATAGTAATCACATTTGTCCCCAAGTTGAAAATTCCCTCTTTTAGAAGATTAATTTTATTACAGCGTGAAAGTGATTGACTCAAATATCCATGCAAATTGTAAATCATTGTATGGAAGCTTGACAAATAAATGTAAGTGCAATTATCTGCCCGTATCTGTGATCCTATCTTACTATTACTAAAGGTAATGACTGATTGGTTATGACAAAGTCTATCAAATAACTTAGATGGATGTTGAAATTAACGGAACTCATTAAATCATCATTTATCAAGTATAAATCATGGATGTCGGGTGGTGGAGTGAATTTCTACGTAGATACACCATAATCTCCTGTAAGTAACCAGTGTGAAGGCATCGAACTCTACGGTAAGAAATACAGGAAACACAAAATTTTATTATCATCTATATAATATAATCCACTCTTATACCACTACAATAAAAAAACAATGACAATTGGCGCCCGAACAGGGACATAGACTGCGGATAATTGCACACTTGTCAACAGTTTGTGCAAACGCGTATATTGTGCTACGAAATGATTACTAGTACATTTGAGGGGACTCTAAGAAATTTTAGGTCTGAAGTTAGAGGTGGAAAATATAGAAACAGAAGAGGACTTGTGATGTTTGCCAGAAACAGCGACGGAGGGCGAGTTTTACCTGCACCCCTGTGGCCTCTCACAGTGATCCCCGAACCCCTGAGAGGGTGACTGCGGAATATTCTGGACAGTAAACCCAGTTCCAAATCAGCCAGCTGATTCAGTACGAGGCAGTGGACAGTAGGGTGTGACATACGGAGGCGATTTTTTTTTTTTGAGTTTGAAAAATCGGCCCATGGTATTAATGATGTAGTTCTATGTGCAGAATCATGTGATATCTTCAGATTTGAAAAGTTTTTATTTTTTGCTAGGTAAATTTTAACTTGAAATCTTATGAAAATTCAGTATTCCCACCCTTTTACCAACACCACTAAATAGCTTATTTAAAGTAAAGTAAATGTATCAGGTTAATTTATTAGGATGAAAATGATCCAGAATAGTGAAACGAATGATCTTGACACATTTATTAAATTTAATATTCCTTTAGAAAACAAAATCATCAAATACAAAAACCGGTTTTACTACTGACCGGTGTTGCTGCACACCATAGAGAACATGTCTTTCTTGCTTCTGTTTCTACTCATCACCTCCCTGCTGACCACCTGAGCTCGGATGTAGCCTTCCCTCCTCTCCTGGCTGTACACGTGACTGCTGGCCTCGCTCACTTGCTGTACACAACGCTCTATACCAGTGGTTCCCAACCATTTTAGTACCATGCCCCACTTTTTTATCACAAATGTCTTCATGTCCCCCACCCGTTAATTGTTTAGTATGATATAACAATATCAGTTTTGAAGAAGTATAACATAAAAAATTGTATCTTTCAAATAAAACTAAAGGGTTTAACTTCAAATTTAATCAAATAAAATCCATTTTATAATGTGTATAACATATCTACCATCAGATTAAATAAATTCAATTACAATCAATGAATGAGACCCTTGAGCCTGATGTCTACTGCAAAGAGATTTTATCCGAGGCAGAAATTTTGTTAATTTCAATCTCAAGTCGCCTCGTTTAGTGATATCCAGTCGGTTTCTTTTCTTCAGTAATAAGTCATTCACAGCACTAAATCCACATTCCACTAAGTATGACGATGGGAATGGTAACAGTAGTTTTCTTGCCAAACTACTTGTATTTGGATATTTAGCTTGTGTTTCTTCACAGAGCCACATCATTGTTCCTTTTATTTTGAACAGGGCTTTAATCGAGTCATCATTTTGTAATTCTGAAAGTTCTCCTTGATACTCCATGGTTACATCTGACAGATCCACTAGCAATGGCTGAGTCATCCAAGATGGATAAATAATTTCTTTCAAATCAGAAAATCTGAAGTTGAAATCGCTTACCATTATTTTTAAGTGCTCCACAATAACAGGACAAGTAGCATCTGTTACCTCACATTTATTCAGCCAATAAAATTGTTCAAATTTTTTGACAGAAATATTTTCTTGGGATAATTCCAGAAATGATATAAAGCCAAATATCTTGGCCTTTGAATTAACAAGAGTCATATTTGTTCCTTGGAGCTCCTTATTTAAGACATTGAGTTTTTCAAATATATCTGCTAAATAACTGACAAGTGCTTGTCAGTAACAGAGTCATATAAGGTTTGTCATCCAAGAACTCACTAAGAATATCAAATAATTCCATGAATCTTTTCAGGCAATTCCCATTTGATAACCACCTTACATCAGTATGAAGTAATAATCTTACATAGTCTGCATTTTGATCCTTGCAAAATTGTTTGAAAAGACACTCACATTTGGCATTAGCTTTTATAGTGTTGATGCATTTTATAACTGCATTCAATGTCTCGTTTAGAACAGGGGAAACTTTTTTGGAAACTAAATTCTGTCTATGAATAACACAATGCACTAACAAAATTTGGGGATTGTCGTCTTTCAATAATTTTAAGACTCCATTTTTCTTGCCCATCATCACTGGAGCACCGTCTGCAGCACAAGATATAATGTTCTCCATTGGTATCTGCTTATAATCTAAATATGTTTTTAATTTCTTATCTATATCAATTGCAATAGTGGTGGTTTCTAATGCTTCGCAAAATAGCATATCCTCAATAAATTCTCCATTATCAACATATCTTACATAGGCCATTAACAGAGCTTCACTATCTCTTACAGTTGATTCGTCCAACTGGATTGAAAAATTTGTATATTTTAATTTTTCAACAAGTTGTACTTCTACATCACAACTCATTTCATCAATCCTGCTACTAACAGTATTATTACTGAGCGGCATGCTTTTGAGATCTTGGTCATCTTTTTCAAGAACTACTTTCAGAAAAGTTGATATTGCGGGCTTAATTAAATTCTCCCCTATTGTATGATTTTTGCCAAATTTTGCTATGAGAAGAGAAATTTCATAACTAGCCTCAAGACCACGATCCTTGCTTGCACTTCTTGCAGAGAACAATGAATTTATTGTTGATCTTTTTTCAAACTTCTCCTTTAGGGATTTAAAATCCTCCAGTTTTGAATTAACATGAATACTGTGTTTTGCCTTCAAATGATTTTCGAGACGACCTCTCTTCATGGATTCATTAGTCAAACATTGGTGGCATAACAGACAAAAAGGCAACCTTTCATCATGAGTCGCTGGTATGAACCCAAACAGCAAGCACTCATCTGAATACTGGCGAACTTTTTTTTTGGCGTGCACACTGTTCATTTTATGCATCATGGGGGTAACTGAAAAGTGAAAATAAAATATTTATATACTTAGGAAAATAAATTTAATATCTAACTTCTGTAACATACAAGGCACAATGTCAATATGCAGTTGCCATTTCAAGTAAATATTGAGTTTTATATTCACAGTTTTAAATTAATGTTACTGTGACAAGATCAATGAATGATTATTTTTATACATTATTTTCAGAGAATAACAAGATCAATAATCATAATGAAAAGCACTTTAACCAGCCCTCTCAGTGAAGCTAAAAAACAGAGACAGATAACTATATCAACATGAAACTTGCATTTGTGTTTAATTCAATACTGCTTCCATGCTTTATTGTGCACATTTAATTTGGTTGTAGTTAGTTTCCTCTGTTTTTTTAGCTTCAGTGGGAGCGTTGAGCAGCTGACTAAAACTCACCTTCTTCCTTGACAGCAGATGAAGAACTGCAAAGTTAAACAAGTCAGAAGCCACGCGTATAGCTGGTGCCAGATGCACGATAACATTATAGGGGAACACTTGACTAGATTGCACAAGCTGTTGTGCTCAGCTAGGTTGTAATTACAATTTTACCCTATAAATTTATAATTTTTACCCTTATAGGGTAAAATAAAAAATAATGTTGATATTACTATATTTTTCATGTTGCCCCCCTATTATTATTGAATTGCCCCCCAGTGGGGCGTAGGCCCCACGTTGGGAATCACTGCTCTATACTCTGGGTGTGCGAGGGCCAGGCAGGGACATGCATGGGGTTGTCCAGGAAAGCTCTGACTTGAACATTGGTGAGGCTGCAGGTAAGAGGGGGCTCACTGCCAGCCTGGATGTTATCCAGATCTATGAGATCAGTGAGGGTCTTGGCACCTAGATTGACTTCAGGAGTCTTCCTGACCCTGAAGGAATCGTCACCAACTGATTCGTCATGCCCAGATCCTCTCATAAGTCTCATATCCAAGATCTTTTTGACTGCCACTCTTCTCTCCTCCTCATCCTTACTGCAGAGCATTGTCTGCAGAACTGCCTCGGGATGAGCATACTAGGAAGATCTCCTCACAGTCTGCTCCACAATCTGAACAACCTTCCTTGGCTGACTCCTCAGGAGCTCAAGCTGGAAGAGAACATGCCTCGGACCTTCGGAGAACGATGACTTGACCTTGGTGTTGAACCAATTTGGCAAGTAGACACTCACGATGAATTGGACAATAAGTCTCAGGTTGTGAAGCTGGTTCCCTTTCAGTTTATGATGAGCGACCCAAATTCTGCAGAACCTGAGAGCCGTTGTGAGCCACCTAGAATGTGAGACTGGACCTATCTGCAGGTAAGCAAGTCTATCAGGCATGACCCCAGTTTTGATGGCACTGCAAATCATGTAACCATAGTACTGGTCAGTACTCAGGTCGTCAATGACAGTATGTGCAAGCTCAACGAGTGGAGGGCCAACTGTGATTTTTTCAAAGCTCGGATTTATTTCTAACTCAGTGGCAGAGTCCAGCATCTTGCCAAGAGGACCAGACCATCTGTTGTTTGAAAGAGTCTTGCCATCCAGCTCCTGGATCAGATGTCTGAGTGGCAACTCGTTGGTGTGGAGGTCACAAACAATCCAGACCAGCTTCCTCCCAATCTTCCGCTCTATCCACTGTATGACCCCCCTTGCCACCCTGTGTTCGTGTTGGTGCTGTCCCCTCCAATGGCCTGCAGGGTCTGGTCTACGTTCCTCTCTCTGAGCCAGTTCACAATGTTATCTGCCACTATCTCAGCTGGTTTCCTGATGTCATCTTTCTCTGGAGTGAAATGCCACAAATACTTCCCTCCTGGTTCACTGCAGCAGGAGTAGTGTTCCTCCTTCACCATGGCAGGGAACAACTTGTCAGAATTTCCAACTTTCATGAACACTTTAGTGTCATCCCTTCTCCCATCAAAGAACAAACAATTGATTCCATTTTCTTATCCCTTATCAAACCTCTTCTAGGTTACTGACAAGTTTCTCCTGAGCTCTCCTTACTTTGTTATGATCTATCACCAGGTGAACATCATCAGGTGTTATCAAACCACCGTCAATCCAGGCAGCTGTTGCTATCTCTGCAGTTTCTCTGAGACCAGTGTGGTGTCGCATGCTGGCCAGAGCTATGCTCGGGATATCTTTCCTATTTCGAATCTTATGCCTGGAAGGTTTGGGATCATTATTTTCTGGGTTAGGGACAAAGTCACCATTCTCCTGGTCAGCACTCGGATCAGCCATGGGGAAGTCATTAAACTCTGAATCAGCTTGACTCCAATCATCGGCCTTTTTTACCTCACCCTGGGCCTTCTCAAGTCTCTTTTCCTCGGCAACTCTTCTCCTCTTCTGTCTCTCTGTGGCAGCCTCCTGTCTCTTGGACTCCGGAATATCTTGGCTAGAAATCATGAGAGCCCCTATACTGCCAGTCTTCTCTCTCTGTGCTTTGACAAATGCCAGTTCGATCACAGGAATCTTCAGTTCACGCTTGGAAATACAGGAGATGTGGGCCTCGGATTTACAGTCACGATCGCAACCAAACTCAGGACAGAGAACAATTGGGCACTTGCAAGTAATTATGTCAAATAACTGGTCCAGTTGCTTGGCAAAGCTGTCCTTAACTGCAAGTTTTCCTCTCCCAAGAGAGATATCTCTTGCCTTTTCCCAACTGGCTAGCAGTCTCTCACTAATCTTCTTCTGACTTGTTATGACTGGAGGCTTGAACTGAGCGTTAGCCAGAGTGTACTGTGCCAAGACAGCTTTGGTCATATCACTGGCAATGTCTTTGTTTGTGTAAGTTCTTTGGTTCTTTTCACTGATTTGCCTGATTAAAACACCGTATCTCAAAGCATCTCTCAATGTAGGCAACTCCGACTTCAGGAGCCTCTCCCAGACCCAAGATAGTGACTGAGATGGCTGGATTTTTGGTTCCTCGTCCTGACACAAGCAGTCGCAAATATTATCAACTTATAAATGCATCAGAATCTGAAACAGAAAAAAATATTGTTAGTTGGGTTGTTAAAGAATGAAGTCAGAAAGCAATGTTCACTATTTAATTGTAATGCACTAATGCAGCTGTACGTTAGATTTTCGATAAATTTCACGCTAACATTTACCTAGCAAAAGGTTGCAAAATATTGAAACTGAAATTATTTTCTGTTTATATACACTAAAATCTACCAAAAAAGTGATGGGCCATTAGTTTTAGCTGATCTTCCCTCCTATGACACACCCTAGTGGACAGTAAACCCATGGGTGAGTGATGGGCAGATTTACATCCTCATCTTGGTGGACTTTAGCGTGAGGCGGTGGACAGTACACCCATTGGTGAGTGACGGGAAGAGTACCTCCACACCTTTGGGGCTCCTCATCAATGGAGGGACCCAGTTCCACCTCAGCCTCCCGATTCACTATGAGGTGGTGAACAGTAAACTCAAGGGTGAGTGATGGGCAGATTTACATCCTCATCTTGGTGGACTTCAGAGAGAGGCGTTGGACAGTAGACCCAAGGGTGAGTGATGGGCAGAGTACACCCTCACCTTGGGGGTACTCAGCAACAGAGGGACCCAGTTCCACATCAGCCGGCTGAAGGATTCCCCCTCTCCACCCACCGGGGAAAGTTCATTGGACATTGCAGAGCGTGTCTAGGACCTGACCTATGTGTGGGAGTGTCCATATGTTCCGGTCAACTCGAACCTCCACGCATCTGACGACACTTCAAATGTTATGTAAACCTTTGAAACACCTCTCTACACTTGAGAACATAACACGACACCTGTACCACCTAAACAATGTCTACATACCCTACACTACACAACACGTTGCCGTAACATAAATGTAGCTTGTTTACGCTTAGAATGAACTATTGCTCGGGAATTGTCACCCTCGCCTCGGAGTTTTCCTCCAGCTTGAAAATATAAAGTAAATGTTGAGGTTTTCCCTCAGTGGCGATTGGCGACTATCTCCCGTTGCAGTGTTGGAAACACATACACACCATAGTGTGAATGTCGAATTGTGTGTCTCGGCTAGGCATTCTCTTGATTGTATACAGGTGCTGGTATGTTAGCCAGCATATAGGGAGAGGCCAGTGAGACAGTGTTGTACTGTTCGTCGCATCACGCCCCAAAAAACAATTTTTTAGTAGTTAAGGCGTCAACCTTCTCGCTCCTGAAGGGAGCGGGACACACCAGAGTCCTCCACCGTCATCCTGTCCTGTGGACCGTCGTCGACATGAGATTAAGTGTGTTAACCTAGGTTCGTTATCCCCGTGGAAATATCACGTGTGGAAGCCTGGTTGTGACAAAAGCAATCCATGCTGGTCTATTGCACCTATGTGGTCAAACTAAGTCACGCTTACCAGTTCTCCTTGCCGCGACAACCGTCTACAGTGACTGTCAGTGATGCGAGACTATGTGTGGTAACCCAAAAGTACCTTTTTGATGTTATTTCCCGTGGAAAGAATTCCTTGTGCAGAAGCCTGGTTGCAACAAGAGCAATCCAGACTGGCAGTAAATGTATCACTTGAATAATTATGGCTCTGTAAGTCATACCATAGTAGAAAGTAATCCTGTTGTCAGATTGAAAATTCCCTCTTTTAGAAGATTCATTTTATTACAGCGTGAACGTGAGTGACTCATATATCCATGCAAATTATAAATCATTGTATGGAAGCATGACAAATAAATTTAAGTGCAATTATCTGCCCGTATCTGTGATCCTATCTTATTATTACTAAAGGTAATGACTGATTGGTTATGGAACTCATTAAATCATCATTTATCAAGTATATATTATGGAATGTCGGGTGGTGGAGTGAATTTCTACGTAGATACACCATAATCTCCTGTAAGTAACCAGTGTGAAGGTATCGAACTCTACGGTAGAAATATAATAAACAATATATTATAATCTATGTCTATATATATAAAGCAAAGAAGTATGTCTGTGTGTGTGTTTGTTTGTGTATTTGTGTGTGTGTGTGTGCGTGTCCGCACGAGAATCTCGG